TCTCAGTTGGAGACGGAGACAAATATGACCCTGTATTATTCATTAAAATATTAATATCTTGGAGAATCTTGGAGGGCCAGAGGGCTAAAACGAGCCTTCAGCCCTCGGTTGGAGATGGCCTCATCTATCCTCAGGGCCGGCCTTGCCCTCTATTAGGCCATCTCCAACCGATGGCTAGCCAAATGGCTCGTTTTAGCCCTCTGGCCTTCCAAGATTCTCCAAGATATTAATATTTTAATGAACAATACAGGGCCATATTTGCCTCCGTCTCCAATCGAGGGCCAGATGGCTCGTTTTAGCCCTGTCACAAAAAATCGTCTCCAACCGAGGGCCAAAGGGCTAAACATAATTTATTATTTAAATTTAAAAACTACAACAACTTAAATTTAAAAACAACAACAACTTAAATTTAAAAACAACAACTTATATTTAAAAACTACAAATTAAATTTAAAAACTACAAACTAAATTTAAAAACAACATCAACTTAAATTTAAAAATTACAATGACTTAAATTTAATATCCATAATCAACATCATCTTCATCATCCGCCATTGTAGGAGTATAGTCAGAGGTAAACAACTGCCGCCGAGACATAATTTCTTTTTTTTCTATCAAAATAGGCCTTACTCATTGGAGTGTAATTCGAATTGTTCCTTTCCATATTCTTATCATATATCTCTTCTTGTATTTGTTTGGCCCGTTCTTCATGTCTACACTTCCTTTCTTCCACCTCAAGGGCATTTTGCTCCGCCAGTAATTGCAATGAGGCTGCCACTTCATGTTGAGCGGCGTAATCATCATTTGCCTTGCCCTTTTCCCTCAACCTTCGGGCCTTGTTTCGTCCCATAGCCCTAGGTAAAGAACTTTCGGACGGAGACGGATTTTGTACCCTTATTTGTTGAATGGTACGAGATCCATCTTCATCCATATCTACAGATAAGGATGCAGCTCCCATCACTCCCAAAGGATCTACTCTATGTTGAGGTGGATCTTCATATAACACTCACCCTTTACAAATTTCCCAACAACCGTGAAACTGAAAAGGTTTTGAGTTGCCCTCCATATACAATTCCTCCGCTTGGCGTACCTAGAAAATATAATTACAAAAATTAAAGGAAATTAATTCATGAAATTAAACGTAATATAATTAAATATAATTACAAAAATTAAAGGAAATTAATTCATGAAATTAAATTTAATATACTTAAACATTTAAAATAAATTGTGAAAACACTAACTTTGTCATAGTAATTGGCGCTGCTTGCATGTCTATGTGCGGCTGCTAATAGTGCTTGATGCCATTTATTCAAACTTGGATGAAGATGTTTCTTCCATCTTGAAGAAGAACTCTAGTGGTTTCGGATATTCGGTGGACTGGTGTCTTCGTAGAATTCTAAGTATTTTTTGGACACACGAGTCCAAACACCTTCACTTATTTGAGAAATCCCCCTCACACTATCTTCCGAGACCCATTTATAAGCCCTGCAAAAAGCTTCATCTTCTTTTCGGGTCCATGTCCTACCTTTCATTGCATATGAGGCCATTTTTATTGAAAAAAATTGAAGGAAATTATTGAAAAAAATATTGAAGGAAATTATTGAAAAATTGAAACAAATATTGTAGATGAAGGAAATATTGAAAAATATATTGAAGGAAATATTGCAGATGAAGTGAAGAATTGAAAGAGCTTCACCATATTTATTGAAGTAAAAAAAGGTTTAAATTCAAAAAAAAAAATAATTGAATACAACGGCTAGCTGCAGTCAGCTAACCGTTGTATTCAATTTTTTTTCAAACTATATGTGTTGGTTATAACCGACACTAATACTAATTAATAAATATCCCAGTAGCCGTTAGCTTTAATTCATTATATTCTATACTATTCATGTCTAACCGATCGGAAATCCAACACTTCAAAAAAAAAAAAAAAATTGGCCAGCCCTCCAGCCTTCCCCGATTCTGTGGGGCCCTCCTAGATTCCAAAGCCCTCTGGCCTAGCCCTCGGTTGGAGACAGTTTTTGGCCTATTTTCGGCCCTCTGGCCCTCTGGACCCTTCGGTTGGAAATGACCTTAATATTTTAATGAACAGTATATGGCCATATTTGTCTCCGTCTCCAACTGAGGGCTAGAGGACCAGAAGGCTCGATTTAGCCGTGTCACAAAAAACCGTCTCCAACCGATGGCCATTGGGCCAAACATAATTTATTATTTAAAAACTACAACTTAAATTCAAACCCAACGGCTAAGTGACGTCAGCTAGCCATTGGATTTGAATTTTTTTTGCTATAAATAGGGTGGATATTGGGATATAATTCACACAAACCACAAAACAGAGCGATGACGCATGCCAATCTGATAAACAACTACTTCGACCCCAACTCGGTGTACACATAAGAGGATTTCAGACGTCGCTTCCGGATGAGGCGTCATGTATTCAAGCGTTTACTTGTGATGTCCAGCAGGTCAATCTGTACTTTCAGCAGAAGCGGGACAGAGCAGGCCGCCCTAGTTTCTCACCTCATCAGAAGGTTACTGTTGCATTCCGAATGATGGCCTATGACTCCCCAGCTGATTCGATGGATGAAACCCATGGTATGTCTAAGTCTACATGCCTTGATACTCTTGAAGAATTTTGTGACACAATTGTTCAGCTTTAGAAAGAAGAGTACCTCCGTGAGCCAAATCAAAAAGATCTGAATCGGCTCCTTTGCAAAGCTGAAGACCATGGGTTTCCGGGCATGATAGGGTCATTAGATTGCATACATTGGGATTGGAAGAACTGTCCCACCGGATGGCAATAAGGCTTTAGCAGAAGGTCGAGAAAGCCAACTGTTGTGTTAGAGGCGGTTGCCTCATATGACACATGGATCTGGCATGCTTTCTTTAGAGTCCCTGGATCCCAAAATGACATTACAGTTCTTGGGCGTTCACCCTTCTTCAATAACTTGACGGAAGGTAAAGCACCTCAACTTGACTACTACATCAACGGTCATCAATACAATATGGGGTATTACTTGGCAGATGGCATCTACCCAAAGTGGGCGACACTTGTCCAAGCAATTCCAAACCCTAGGAACGACGCGGAAAAATTGTTTACCTTACCAAGAGGCATATCGCAAAGATGTTGAGAGAGCTTTTGGTATTCTACAAGCACAGTAGAAGATCATCAGCGAACCTGCAAGAGGGTGGAGTCGAGAAAATTTAAACTCCATCATGATGTCTTGCATCATATTACACAATATGATAGTGGAGGATGAGCGAGATGGGTATATTGATGGAGAGTCCGATGACGACCAAGAAGATCCAAATAGGTCAAGAAGGGCTCGTGCAAAAATATATGATGAGCCTCATTTGCCTTTCAATCCAATAATTGGTAGTATCTCTAAAGATTAGCACATGAGGCGCTATAGAATGATACGTTCTCGTGTCACAAACAAGTACCTACAACAAGATCTTGTTGCACATCTTTGGGCCCAAAAAAGCATGGAGTAGGCATTTACGTTTTATGTTTTTAATATTTTTTAAAATGTTGTTTAAGTTTCATGTTGTATAATTTTTATGTGGGTACATTTGATATACAAAATATTGGTACATTTTATACAAAAAAAGGGCAAATTTTATATAAATTAAATGGGTACATTATATATACGGGGGATAGGATCAAGGGACAAATATTTTTACAAATACTTTTACACTCTTTTTTAGCTTTTTGATTACATGACATCCAATGGTTCTTATTTATTCATTAAATGACATGAATGCTTATGTGGATTTTAACTAATATTAAATATAAAAAAACATAAAATCTGGAAAATTAAAACTAAAATTAAAAAAAGGAAGAAACTCTAGTTGTACACAGTCCTCCGTTCGTGTGTGCGTATACAATGTTGAGGGATTGCAAGGTTTTCCAAGCAGAGAATTTTCGAGCAGTACTAGTTGTGGGAATGGACAGAAGACCGGCAACCATCCAGGAATCCCTCATCAGGCTTTCTCTTATGGAAGGTGAAGTTCAAATAATTCTCAGGGTGCAAAAACAGCATGAACCTGACATGCTACAGAACTGGTAGCACTGTGCCGCTCCAATATCTGATGCGAGATTATTTGAACGTAAAAATCTTATGTTCGAAGTAATACGTTTCACTTTCGATGGAAATAGGATCAGGGAAGATCAAACTCCTGAATAGCGCGAAATTAATACTAAAATTAAAAAGAAGAAGAAACTTGAACAGAAATTGGTTCTCCCATAATAAAAAACAGTTAACTTTAATGAAAAGCTCCTGATACTGTTCACTTTAACGAAAAACCACATTTTTACATTAAAAAGTCAATCCTGGTGCTATTCACTTTACCCTTTATTTTGTTCTTATCATTAAAAATCAAAGTTTTCAAGTCATTTTCATTAGTTTTCCTTAAAAAAAAATCATCAACTCATGTTTTTTTTTTTTGAACTTGGATTCAGATTTTATATTTTTCTTTTCAGTTTTATTTTATCTTTAATATTAGTTAAAATCCACATAAGCATCCATGTCATTTAATGAATAAATAAGAAGCTTTGGATGTCATGTAATCAAAAGACTTAAAAAGAGTGTAAAAGTATTATAAAAATATTTGTCCCTTGATCCCTATATATATAAAACAATGGGTACATTTTAGATTTAGAAAAAATAAATTGATTTCACATTAAAAAAATGGGTACATTTTATATAAAAAGAATCGTACTTACAAAACAAAAAAATTGGTACATTTTGCATATAACAAGGTGTACATTTTTAAAGAAAAATGGGCACATTATAAACAAACTACGAGTACAAATAAAAGGTTAAAAAAATTATGAGTACAAATAAAAGGTTAAAAAAAATATGAGTACAAATAAAAGTTTAAAAAATATGGGCAAAGAAATTAATATATGAATACAAATTAAAACTGAAAAGAAAATTGGTACAATTTAAAAAAAAAGAATTGCAAATCAAAAATGGGTACAAACTAAAACTAGAAATATATGATACAAAGTTTGGCCATAAATATAAATATATCAAATGTACATATTTGATAGCAGAACAAGGACAAGTTATTCAACAGAAAAGCCGTTTATAAAAAAGGTTGCACCAACATATCAAGAAAATAGAAGGACAAACGCAAGACAGTAGAATAAGAAGTTAATGCTTAACTTTAAAAGAACAGGAAAGTGCAAATGAATGTACCCAAATTCCTAACAAATCGGAGATCACTGTTGATCGATTGAAGTGGACGGTTGCTCTTGCTCCACCTCAATATCAATAGGAAAATTGAGATCAATATGCCTGTGTTTCAGATGATCATCCGCTGGCTCCAAAGATCAGGAAAGCCATTGTTGTTGCAGATCCTATCATCATCGACGATATCGATCCAACTGGCCAAGGCTTCTTCCCAAGACTACTCATTGATCCCAAAGACAAGGGAAGTCGTTCGTCTTGGTTCGGCAATAGGCGGTGCACCCATCAACTTATAATGCGTGCAGAGTTGGGGAAAGGAACTATAACTTTGACAAATATCACCCTGCTGCTCGTGATCGTCTAAATCCACTAACTTGGGCCACACGAGTTGCCTCAATTTTCATCTCATCCCATAAATAAGGTACAAGCTTTTGTACTCCCTTGATGAGAATATAAAGATTATCAAAATAATTAGTTCCTGCTCCAAGAACAACAGATAGAGCTAACAATATAACGTATCCCCTTGGGAATGTAGAGGACTTTCAAAACCAAATTCATTTTCTGATAGATGTTCAGTGGTTGTAAGATGGGCAAGGGGTATAGCCTGGCCACTTTTGAACTTTATTGCCTGGCAGAATAACTTGCAAGTCAGCGAGCTGAAGAGATTCCTGCAAATTAAATAACGTATAGATAACTAATTACTATAAATGGGGGTAAGGCGGGAGCATCCTCTCCATAAATGGGGGTAAGGCTAGCCGACATTCACCTCTCCCAGACCCTGCGTAAAGCGGAAGCCTTATGCACTAGGTACGACCTTTTTTTATAGATAACGAATTACTAACAGTCGTGATCTAAATGCTCTCTCAAGTATTAACAAAATTAATTTTCATTTCAAGAGAAATTAAGAAGAAGAGAGAGCAACCTCATTCAACCAATTGTTTTTCAACTTTGCCACTTCATCGCCACTTAGTTTAATGCAATTAGTCAACTCCAAACGCTCAAGCATCGGGGGCAATTTTGGAATTTTCTCCAATGATGTGCAATCATCCAGATATAAGCCACATAAGCTTGGTGGAAGGACTTGTGGAATTTTTTGAAGCCTCCTGCAACCACTCAATCTTAGTTTCATTAAGTTGACAAATTTGCTAATGCAATCCGGAAGACTAACAAAATTGTTTCTTGACAGATCAAGGCTTGCTAATGCGAACCAGCAACCAAGAGGCACAAGGAAATCACTTTCAGATAAATTGCATCCTCCCAAATCAAGATCAAATAGGTTGGGAAGGGCTAATGTGATAGAGTTGTCATCTGAAGTATCTAAGTCAGTTGAATGCAGCAGAGATTGGGTATTGCAAGATGAAACTTCATCAAACTTCACCTTATTCTTCCCAAATGTCACGAGTTTTGGGCATTCACCAAAGTAAACCTGAATCAGATCTTGCAACCCATATATATGATGTAATGATGTACCTGTAAGGTTCACACATTCATTTGCTTTCAATCTTTGAAGCCCAATAAGATACGCAATTGATGAAGGCAATTCTCTTATGCCACTTTGTTGTATATCCAAGTCCGTTAGAGATTCCATCTTGCCCTCTTCTATTTTTGGGAATCTCTCGAGCCTTGTGCAACCTTTGAGATAAAGCCATTCAAGGGATCTCAACCCAAGTCTTGTTGCAAACCTCGTAAGCTTAGAGCACCCATTAAGATTCAAGTAAACAAGTTTATCAAGGAATCCAACAAAATCATCAACCTCAACCAAACTTTTACACTCACTTAGTACCAAGTGCTTTAGATTTGGGCTTCCGGATAAGTCGGGGATTTTTTCTAAGAATTTGCAACCTCTGAAATTCATAGATGTAAACTTTGCCAAATTCTGTAAAACCAAAATCAAAACAAAATAAATCACATGCTTTAAAAGAATATAATGAAACACTTGAGTTTTTTTTTTTTTTTTTTTTTGATATAAAATATGTGTAAATATATAATGGTTCAAAATAATTTAAAGTATGTACCTTAAATTCCTTCAATTGTCTGATGTCACTGTATGACATATCAAAACTAACTTGTTACATGACATCATCCCAGTCATCACGACTTTTTTGAAGTACTGTTTGAATATCATTGTAAGGTTCTCCTTTGCAAGAATCGCAAATATCCAATATAACTTGCCAACGATTTATACTTTTCTTACGCAGATGAGAACCTATACAATTAAGAGCTGAAGGACGGCCTTGAGCATAGGCTACTACACGTTGTACGAGTTCGAAATAATTGTCTGGAGGTTCATTTCTTCCAAAGGCATTCAAACTTAAAAGCTCCAGAGCTTCGTCGTCATTTAACTTTCGGACCTTGTAGATGAACTTAACTCCATAAGATTCCAGCAATCCTCTATCTTTTGTGGTTATGATCACTCTACTACCCTCACCAATCCATTCGACTTCAGCCAAGTTGTTTAATTGCTCCAATTCATCCACATCATCAAGAATTAAGAGAATCTTCTTTCGCCTCAACAAATTCTCTATAAGGCTCTTTCCTTGATGAGTATTGACAACTTTCGACTTTGAACCACGATTAATCTCACTTAGAAGAGTGTTTTGTAGTTGGGTTAGGCCTCCATGTTGCATTGATGTTTCTCGAACATCTGCCAGGAAACAACTACCTTCAAAATTATGAGCAATTGCATTATAAACAGCTTTTGCAATTGTTGTCTTGCCTATTCCAGATGTCCCCCAAATCCCAACCACACAACCACCATTTCCATCGACCCCTAAAAGCTCTTTCACCTCTTGTACGCAAGATTGTATTCCAACAGGGTGTTTGGCCACATTCAAATAGGTGCCATCAAGTACTCGGACTGAGATCTCTTTAACAATGTTACTGATTATTGTAGCTTCATAGCTAGCAGTTCAAAACAAAAAGCACATTTAATCAGTGAACTTTTTTTTTTACTATATTTCAGAGATGTAAAAACAAATAGAGAAATATAAATATTACACGATATTAACAAAAAGTGTACTTGAAAAGTTCTCTGTTTCTATCCAAAATGCACTAGTAATTACTAAAGTCAAGTATGTGTTGCTTGCTAAAGATCTAAAGAGTAAAAATGAAATACAAAACTAAAATGATGACATTATTGTAGGAAATTAACTATATAAATATACGGTAAGGGGAAGAAATGTACGTACCCTTCCTCCTTGACCAGATGTCCTGACAAATTTGCTACTTCTCTAAGAGCTCTCCTCCACATGAGCACCTTCTTCTTGTTGTCCTTGAATTTGCCCTGAAGTTTTGTAAACCCGACACCGAAACTACTCGTTTGATTTCGTACATGGGACGGATCCACCTTGTAAAAAACTGGCAAAACTATTTGTTGCTTTGATTTTTTACATTGACGAATCTTGACGAGCTCATCTAAGCACCACCTTGAAGATGCATAGTTTTTAGAGAATATGACAAGAGAAATTCTTGACTCTTCAATTGCTTGGAGGAGCGCTAGTGATATTTCTTCTCCTCGTGTAAGTTGGTGATCAATGAAGGTGTTGATTCCCTTATCGACCAAAGCTTTGTATAATGATCTGTAAAATTCGTGTGTGTGTCCTCTCCTCTAAAACTCAAAAACACATCATATCTCCATGAAGGAGGCAAGGAAGAAGAAGAGGCAAGTTGATCGGCCATAGGAGAATTGCAATGTGCGGTATGGTATGGACATTGGGCTCTCTCTTGTTATATCAGCCCTCATGCTTTTCTTGACAACTTCATTTTCAATTATTGAATATTTTAATTGCAGGCCGACGGCATGCAATGCAACAACATAATATATATATATATATATAACAAAATGAAAGCGTCGTTGCTTCTCTGCCTTATATTAGAGTTAGTCTTCCGTTCACATTGGTAAACAAAATATATAATATAAAACTGAAGAATGAATTTTCTCAAAGCCTAGTTGTTTGCAATCTAAATTAGGGTTTTTCTATAATACTTCAATGTATGAGATGCGACTGTATTTGAAAGGTCAGATTGAAACTGTCAAGATTAGGCCTGGCATTTTGGACCCAACCCGTTAACCCGACCCGACCCAACCCGTTAATATTTGTATTTGGGTGGATGCTTAACGGGTCGGGTCGTTAACGGATGAACCCGTTAATAACTGTTAAATAACGGGTCACTTTGGGTCAACCCGTTAGGACCCGTTAGCACCCGTTAGTTGAGGATATTTTAGTAATTTTAGTAAAATCTTAATAACAAAAAATAAACTTTATGCAAAAAATAAAAATAAAAATAATTGTTAACGGGTGTTAACGGGTGAAACGGGTGACCCGTTAGCTTAACGGGTCGGGTTCGGTGACCCGTTAGCTTAACGAGTTAGGTTCGGATGACCCGTTAACTTAACGGATCGGGTTGCCCGACCCAAACCCAATAAATCCGACCCGTTTACAGGTCTAGTCAAGATCCATTTTTTCTAGCAAGTCATGCATCAAAATCTAAATCAGCTGCAGCAGCATCAACCAAAAGTACTTTTGAGAAAAGCATTGAATAAGTAGAAATGTGAAATCAAAAGTTAAGAGTGACTGGAAGTTGCATAGCTTACCGGAGGTCCAGTCACCAGCAAGCACTTGCCGGGAAGGCCATCTTTCGCTTCTCCTCCTCCTCCCTCTTCCACTGTCGTTCGTTTTCACCCTCGCTCGATCAGCCAACATGACTAACAGGAACGACAAGTCGTTGTGCAAGAGAGGGTACGCTGTTGATAATTTGATATCGTCACTGCTTTGGGCTGGGTATGTTTGGAGAATAAGGCCCGACCAGCCCATATGAGCCCAAAAAATTTAACCTCCTGCACGGTAATTTTTTTTTTTTCTCCTGAACAATTGATATTGTCTACGCTAGGAGGAGGAGGAGTAGGCTTAGCCTCACAATCAGTTAACAATAATGTGGTTCAAATGCCGATATTTTAAATACTGACTAAAAATCACTCGGAAGTCGGAGTACTCAAACTTTGTCATGTTTGTTGGTCCTCAGTGTTTATGTTGTTGCTTCTGTGGCAAGGAACAGTTGATGATAATATTAAATTAAAAATGAGATTTATCCATTTGATTCTAAAGGCAGTTTAAGAGTTAGCATTACTTATTTGTTATCTATTTTTTAGCCAGGAGGAAAATCTGATAATCTTAGAGGCAGTGATATAGATCCACGTTTATTATTCCATCATGGAATATACCATCAGGCTGTAACTTGTTGGATTGTGACTCCATCAAAAATTACTTGCAATTAATTCAACCAAGTGAGTCCATTTCTACTACCAAATTTAGCCTTATTATTTCCTTTGAGAAATTGTCTATGCAGGACGTTCGTCGTTTGTCTTCATTTTCATTCACTTGAACATGTATGATCATTTCTTCACATTAACGGGGATGGCACTGGCAGAATCAAATTATTTGGCAAAGATAACACCCAAGCTCTACATGCTTCTGTCAATGCAGTTCCAAGCAAGTTTATATACAGGTTATGTTTCGATCTCCAACTGTTTTGTTTCGGTTTTCATGTTAATGTAATGAAAATTTGAGACCCTTTTCGTATTGAAAAGTATATTAGTCGGTTCTTCGTACGATGATTTGATAGTCTGATGTAAATTGTGATGTTTGAGTTCAGTGTATGGAGAACCAAGGCATACTTCTAAATGTAAATTCCAAGAACCACATTGAGGCAAGTTTCTGCACTATATTTTCCTCTGATTTATTTTCCGACGTTCGATGAATGAATGATCGAACTTAGGTTTTGGGTTTGTTTATCTACTGCATTTTAATAATTATTTTGCAATGTTGTGTTTAGGTTTGGGACATAGACTAAAATAATTACAATCAAAACATGTACTAGTCTCAGACATTACAAACTTAATCGTTTTACTAGGAATTGCCAATTTTATACTAACACAAGCCTCTATTGATCACAGTAGTTGTCGACATACCTTGGTGTAAGCTTTTGGCAAATGCCGGCAGGAGTTGGGAAATGCCCAACATGTGTTCGACGAAATGGTCCAATAAATTATTTTTTTCTTTTCTTAATTATAGCTTCATTATTTGAAAATTCTAGCTCCTCCACTAGACATCAATATGCGTCCGCTTAGAATGATCATCCACTGGCTCCGAAGACAAGGAAAGTCATTGCTCTTGGTAATCATATGCATCATAGAAGATATCTGAGCCCGCCGAGGAGGAGGGTTTCAAATTGCAATAGTGATTAACAAAGTCCAGCATATGTCGCTTGCTAGAAATCTAAAGAGTACAAATGAAACACAAAATTGACATTATTATAGAGAATTAACTATATAAATAAAAACACTGTAAGGGGAAGAAATATACGTACTCTCCCTTTCGGAAAGGATGTCCTGACAAATTTGCTACTTCTCTAAGAGCTCTCCTCCACATCAAGACCTTCTCCTTCTTGTCTTGGAATTTGCTCTCATGGCCTGTAAAAGCGTCACCGAAACTGCTCTTTTGATTTCGTACATGGGATGGATCCACCTTGTAAAAAACTGGCAAAACTATTTGTTTCTTTGATTCTCTACATTGAAGGATCTTGACGAGGTCGTCCAAGCATCACCTTGAGGATGCATAGCTTTTAGAGAATATGATGGACTCTTCAATTGCTTTGAGAAGAGCCAGAGATATTTCTTCTCTTCTTGGAAGCTGGCAATCAGAGAAGGTGTGGATTCCCTTATCGATCAAACCCTTGTATAAATGACCGGTAAAATTGGTGCGTGTATCCTCTTCTCTATAGCTCAAAAAGACATCGTATTTCCATGAAGGATGGTGAAGGAAGAAGAAGAGACAAGTTGACCTGCCATAGGAGAACTAAAGCTAGATAAACTTAAGAAAAGAGCCTCCCAAAGGATTGGAATATGCAGTATGTATTGAACTAAACATGGTAAATACCAATATTAAACTAAACATGGTAAATACCAAAAATATATATGACAATATTTGGGAATTTCTTATATATTCATTAATCTCCAAAGTGGAGTATATATAGGAGTTACAATTGGTATTACATATGTACTTCACCAATGTGGGACAATAAACTACTATTTACACTTTAACTAATATATAACTCGCAACACTCCCCCTCAAGTTTTTGCAAAGATGTCACGCATGCCTAACTTGTCAAGCGAGTTGGAAAACACACTATTAGACACAGCCTTAGTAAGAACATCAGCAAGTAGATCTTCAGATCTCACAAACAGAAACATAATAATTACAGCATCAAATTTTTCCTTAATGAAATGTCGATCAATCTCCACATGTTTTGTTCAACCATGTTGCACTGGATTATGAGCAATCTCAATAGCAGTCTTGTTATCACAATGAAGTTTCATAGCACCTTTGGGGTTAAACCCAAGATCTCTCAACAATTTTTGCAACTACAACAACTCACATACACCATGCGACATACCACGAAACTCAACTTCTGCACTTGACCTAGCCACCACTTTTTGTTTCTTGCTTCTCCAAGTAACTAAATTACATCCACAAACGTAAAGTATCCAGATGTAGATCGCCGATTAGTGATAGAACCTGCCCAATCTGCATCTGTATACCCTTCGACATTCAAATGACCATTCTTGGAGAAAACCAGGCCTCTGCCAGGAGCCATCTTCAAGTACCTTAAAATACGAGTTACTGCATCCATATGAGCTTTATTAGGTGAGTGCATAAACTGACTTACCACACTAACTGCATAAGCAATGTCAGGGAGAGTGTGAGACAAATAAATTAATCTCCCCACAAGCCTCTGATACTGTTTCTTATTAGTAGGAACTTGATCTGGAAATAAGCACAGACGATGATTCTGCTCAATCGGAGTATCAACAGGTTTGCAATCTAACATACCTGTTTCAGCTAACAAATCAAGAACATATTTCCGTTGAGACAGAAAAATACCATGCTTGGATCGTGCAACCTCGATTCCAAGAAAATACTTCAATTCACCCAATTCTTTCATCTCAAACTCAGTAGCTAGGTACTTTTGAAGGCGTTGTATCTCCTTCTGATCATCACCAGTCACTATCATGTCATCAACATAAATAATCAATGCAGTTAGCTTATCATTTTGTCACTTTAGAAACAAAGTATGATCTGAATGAATCTGGATATACCCAAACTTCTTCATTGAACTTGTAAACCTCTCAAACCACGCTCCAGGAGATTGTTTCAAACCATACAAGGTCTTTCGTAACATGCATACAACACCTTTTCTAGGAGATGTTCCAACACCAGGTGGGAGATCCATATACACTTCCTCCTTAAGATCACCATGAATTAAAGCATTCTTAACATCAAACTGCAATAGAGGCTAATCCTGGTTTGCTGCTAAGGACAGAAGAACACGCACGGTATTAAGTTTGGCAACATGAGCAAAGGTCTCCTGATAGTCCACTCCATAGGTTTGAGTATAACCTTTAGCAACTAATCTGGCTTTATACCGGTCAATAGAACCATCTGCTTTGTGCGTAATAGTAAACACCCATCTACATCCAACGGCTTTCTTCCCATTTGGTAAAGGAACCAAATCCTAAGTAAAATTCTTTTCCAAAGCTTCTATCTCAACTTGCATTGCATTAACCCACTTAGGGTCAGACAAAGCATCTTGCAATTTTGTTGAAATTGATACACTAGATAGCTGACATAGGTAAGATGCATATGGTTTGGATAAACGATAAGTAGACACATAATTGTTGATAGGATATTTGGCTTTGG